AAAACAAGCAAAATGAAAAGGGAACCAACCATATGGGAAATCATGTGCCAATGATACCTCGGACAAGGGTTTGATCTCCAAAATATATAAAGAACTAACACGACTCCACTCCAGGAAGACAAACAATCCAATTAAAAAATAGGCAAAGAACCTGAACAGATACTTGTCCATGGAGGATGTACAAAGGGCCCAGAGACATATGATAGGATGCTTAGCATCACTAGCCATCAGAGAGATGCAAATTAAAACCACAATGAGATACCACTTCACACCAGTCAGAATAGCCATCATAAATAAATAAAAAAACAACAAGTGCTGGTGAGTTTGTGGAGAAAAGGGGACCCTAGTGCACTGTTGGTGGGAATAAAGATTGGTGCAACCACTGTGGAAAGCAGTATGGAATTTCCTCAAAAAACTAAAAAATGGAACTGCCTTTTGACCCAGCAATTCCACTGCTGGGACTATACCCTAAGAATCCTGAAGCACTAATTCAAAAGAACATATGCATCCCAATGTTCATAGCAGCACAATTTACAATAGCCAAGTGCTGGAAGCGGCCTAACTGCCCATCAACAAATGAGTGGATCAAAAAACTGGTACACTGACATGATGGAATACTATGCAGTAGAGAGAAAGAAGGAGCTCCTACCCTTTGTGACAGCATGGATGCAACTGGAGAGCATTATGCTAAGTGAAATAAGCCAGGCAGTGAAAGACAAAACCATATGATCTCACCTTTAACTGGAACATAATCAACAAAACAAACAAGCAAGCAAAATACAACCAGAGACATTGAAATAAAGAAGAAACTGACAGTAACCAGAGGGGATGGTGAAGGGAGACAACAGAGAAAGAAGGGAAAGAGTCATCAAGGAACATGTATAAGGACCCATGGACTAAGCCAAAGGCGGGTAGGATTGAGGGTGGGAGGTGGGGGTGGGTCAGGTGGGGGGAAGTGGGAGTGGGAAAATGGAGACAATCGAATTCAGACAACAATAAAAAAATGATGAAGAAAAAGATGGCCTAAAAGACAAGTGGTAAAGATACTTCATAAAAGAAGATATTCAAATAGCAATAAACATGAAAATGTGTTCAAGCTCATCAGGCCTCAGGGAGATGCAAAATTAAAAGCATGAACAAATACTGTAAACCCAAATGAATGGCTAAAACTACAGAGACAGACAAAAACTAACTGCTGGCAAGGATGCAGAGTACCTGAGATTCCCAAAACGTGCTGGAGAAATGTACTGTTACAGCCACTTTGTAAAAATATTCAACAGTAGATCCTGAAGCTGAACTTATGCAAACCCATATACTCAGAAATTCCATTCTTAGGTATATACCCTATAGAAATGCATACACATATCCACCAAATAACATACTAGAATGCTCCTAGTGAGCATCACTGGTAAGAGGGCCAAACTGTAAGCAACAAACATTCAGATGGATAAACTGTGATATCATCATAAAATTCAGTAATATGCAGTAATGAGAATTTAAAAAACATGATTTGGATGGATCTCACAAACATCATGTTAGCAAAAGAAGTCGACCATAAAAGGGAACCTACTCTACGACTTCATTTACAGAATGTTCAGAACAGTGACAGAGTAACTGACAGTGAGTGAGCCAAATCAGAAGAACAACTGTCCTGGCAGGAGCTGGATATTGTGTGGCATGAGGTAGGTTCCCGGTCAGCTCCTATTTCATGACCCAAGTGGCAACTAAATGGGTGTGGCTACAATTTTTACTTAAAAAAAAAAAGAATTTAGTAGTGTATATGCAGTGATAAACTATATCAGCAAGTGGAAAAATAAAGTGAATTATAGATCACCAAATAAAACATGATTCTATACTGGTAACAAAAACAAAAAGGTGGATTATTATATCCAAAATCAATAAAGCATTTAGTAACAAGGCTTATCTCTTGCATTTTTTGCTTTATAAAATTTTTGGATTTTTAAGGAAGGGAGCGTTAGTTACACATTTGAATCCAAAAATAACCGATAGTAAAAAAGAAACCGTTTTCTGTTAAGTGTTCCACAATTCCAAAGGTATGCCCTGGGGCGGCGCAGAGTAGCAGCCAGGACGGCATTGTTGTCTGGGGTACCATGTAGCTTTGGTTCAAGAATTCTCTCAGGAGGCAGAAGGACAGACCACTTACATGAACAGGTCCTTTACACTTAATGTAAATGCACTTTCACCAGCCTCTCTCACCTTATGTTCTAAGGACATTTTGTGCAGGCCTCTGTGGAACACTCATGGACAAAGGGAAAAACCTGACAGGCCACTGCACAGACACCCAACTCAACCCCAGAGAAGGAACGTGTGGTACCCCCGAAAATGTCAACTATATATGTTCACGCATTACTTGCTTAACAAAAGGCACAAAGGCTGATTACCATTTGCCATGACTTAGGTGGGACACTCAATGAGCTTGCTTGTAAACCTTAGTGAGACAAACTCCAACTTATTGTACTTCTGCCCTTTCACTACTAAACAGCCTTTTAAATAATCATGCTTTTCTCAACCAATTTGTACTTCAAAACTTATTATATCTGAATAAAATGATTTAGACAATAAAGATGTTTCCAAGTAAAAACAGAAAACATACCCAAGATATGAAGACTGTAAGCTGCCTGTGTGCACAAAGCCGAAGAACATACACGCACACATGCATAGCCTAGGGACACAGACAAAAATGTGGTGAGGCCCAGGGGCTGGGTCTGAGTGGAGGGGGAGAAAGGGATAAATGGGGGACTCCTGTAATAGTGTCAACAATTTTTTAAAAAAGGAAGTACAAACTGGGTAGTTATAGAACAGTCATGGGGATGTAAAGTGCAGCATAAGGAACAGAGTCAATAATATTCTAATAACTGTGTATGGTGTAGGTGGGTACTAGACTTATCAGGGTGATCACTTAGTAAGTCTTATAAATGTCTAATCATGGAATTGAAAAATAAAAAAAATTATGAAAGAAGTCAAAGGTATAGTATTTTCCTTCATAGGGAAAACAAAGAACAAATTTTAGTCTATTTTTCTTAAAAAAAAAACAAACTAATGAATTAAGAAGACATTTATTCAAATCTATGGTCAGACCAAAAAACAGACAGACAAAAAGCAAAGGTACAGATTTAGAAATTATTCTCAGATTTATAGATTTATAAAAAAACAAAAGGAAAACATTAAATGATCATTCACTATCACAGCAGTGACATACTTATTCTCCTATTTTGTCTCATCCAGGTTAGAACCAGAGAAAATGAGCTTTATTACAGCAAGATTATTAACTCAATATAAGGAAGAGCCAGTTTATGTGACAATAGGCCAACAAAGAAAGCAGGTGCTAATCTTGTCAATTTTCTTGGACTCAAATGGATTCCTGAAGGCATTCTCGCAACAAGAGAGTGTCACAGGCCCCCGGCTGCTAACTGCTGCCCTGCTCAGGCAGGCATGTCAGTGCACACCCGATATTGTGACCATCCCGCCTGTGAACACAGACCCGCACTGTGAGGAACACATGTGTTTGAGCTAAAGAACATAGTATATGAATAGAAACAAACACATGTGTTTGTAATCTCTTCAGAAATGATGCAGAAAAGAACAAGTGCACATTACACAAGTTAGAGATTTCATCTTTCACATGTTGCAAATGCATTTTGCTATTGATCTTTTCTGTTTCTACAGAAATGATACTCATTACTACTTTTACTATGTGAATCACAAAATTGTCTGTTTTAACAGGAACACATAAATAATTAATCCATGGAGATATTTTCAAAAGTGTTAAAACATGAATTAATATACTGACACTTGTTTAGGGCCCCATGTATCATTCTAAAACATGTTGTTCGTGGAACAAAGGCTTTGTAAAATGGATTAGAACATTTGAATGAGGCAGTTTCTGAGGTGTCAGTTATTTGCTTTATGTAAAGTACTGTTCAAACCAGTGACATCACACAGAAATTCTTCCCATTAGGGAGAAATGTGAAGATGCACAAAGAAACCAAAGTAATTTAACTGCCCTCTACTTTCTAAGGAAAAGATTCCTCCTCCCTTCGTGGCCAAGTTCTTTCAACCACAAGCTGAGCCTGGGTTTTGCCTGAAATGAGCAGGTTAGCTTTGCTCAAAGGAGTTACATCCCTTTTGTTCAATGATTGCCAAGGACATTCTTTTTCCCTTAAGAAAAGTAGAATGGGTGATTGCATTGGAGATGAAGTGCAGTGCTATCAAATTGGGCTAATTCCTTGCACTTTTGACCAAGTCAGCAGAAAACTCACTAATTTGCTTTTTTCTCTAGAAGATAAACAGATCTACCATATTTTGGGAGATGAAAACATATGGATGGAACTACTATGGTTAAAGAGATAATGATACTATTTACAAATTACTTATGTTTGACCAAATAAAAATTGTTTCACTAAATCAACACAACCAAGGGAAAATTTATTCTTTAGCTTGTTACAATAGGACTTCAAATTATAGATGAGATTTTGTCTATATTGAGCCTTGACTGGAAAGAAACATAATTAAATCAAAACATGTAGTTCTTTTTCCTATACTCTGATAATCCCTCAGCTTTTAATAATTAAACTTTTTTTCCAATAACCTTCTTGCCTGCCTTACTAATGAGGTACATTTCCCAGTGTCCAACTTACACAAGTACAATGAGGCACTCTGGTTTCCCTCTGTGCCCTCTGCAGATGGCAGAAAAAGATTCTACCACTGAGACTTTTAGGTGTAGATTTGTCCTGTTGTGACTGAGTACCACAGAAATTACAGAGTCCAGTCCTTTCACTTTAAAAATGAGAAAATTAAAGTTCAGAGCAGTGAAGTGACAGAATTTATTCATAGAGTTGGGCTAGACACAAGTATGTTGATATCAGGCAGGCCCTTTCCACCTTTCCCTACTGGAATGGTAAAACCAGCCAAACAAACAAATAAGACATCTTCACAATGAAAAGTAAAGTCTGTGTTTTTGCTAGTGTATTTGTTTTTACCTCTGAAGAGTTTATCCCAGTCAAAATCTTCTTTTTCTTTGATTTTCAAACACTTTGCCTGCTGTACAAGTCTGGACAAGGAACAGAAATAAAATCTAGATTCATTATCCTGTGAAGTAGGAATAAATCATGAACGACAACAGCACACATTTAAATAGAAACCACGGGGTAAACAATAGTGAATTAGCAGGTATTTTGCCGCACAGAACCTTCTTAGAATTTTTCTTCAATTTAATATTTTTAAAACACACTTTTTTTTTCAGAAATTCTAACTTTGAAATCTAAAACTTAAAAGCTACTCCACCATCTCTTATTGCCAAATGTTTCTATAACTATCTGGAGAATAATCTCTTCAGATTCTGTGGAGGAGCTATTAGGGACAGTAGGTGGGTAAATAATTGCTACTGATGATTCTAGCACTTATTTTAATCAGAAGATTATATACGTTGTGCTCAAACAACCGTATAAAGTAACTTAGTTACATTGTTGAATGTCAGAGAATTAATTAACTTTTAAATGTTCCAGTATGCAGTAAGGACTAAATTTGTAACTCTCCTGGAACTTTATAAAATCTTGAGGTTTGTAGTTTGTAACGAATATGGTAGTTTCAAAATAAAACTTTTCAAGTGTTGCTAATTACCCAATAATTCATTTTAGGAAGACAGGACTTGAGACAGTTGATTAATTTATCTGGGATATTTATGGTTTTAATGAAAATTATAACGCCTTGCTTTGCAAACGTATTTTGTGCCTGTATTTGCATAGCAACTCATTTACCCCCGTGGGTAGGTAGGTCTCTGAGTCAGGCAGACAAGCTCTGTTTCAATCTCTGATTTAGGTGAGGAATCTGATTCAGTTACTAAAACCTTACAGATAAAGATAAGTGACTTGTACAAGATTTGAGTTAATTTTACTTATATATTTCATATACATGTATGCATGGTAGAAACATTCAATTTATCTTTTTTAACAATTAAGACTTTTTTTCATGAAAAAACCCCTCAAGAAACAGAAAAAATTTCTACTGAAATCCCAATTTTGGACCTTAAAAGGAGGTCCTACATAGCTACTGTGGAGCATACTAACTCTGGGGAGTTAGTTGCCTGTGGTGGAAGGCAGATACCAGTACACTTAGTGTAAGAAAACCTGGCTCCATGTCTTAGCATCTGTGCTCTAAGTTTGTGACCCAGGGTGCATATTTAAATTCTACAGGACTGTTTCCTGATCTGCAAAATGGAAACAGAATTTGCCTTAAAGGGTCTGTTCTGAACAATCAATGAAATAATACATTATAAAATAGTCTACAGACTCTCATGCCTCTTGCACATGTGTAAGAATGTGTGGAATATTTTCATAATTCAATATGTATAATTTTCATTATATTCTCTATATATCATCAGGAATATGTGTCTTCAGGCTCAATTTACATTCTTGTAGGGAAGAATATGAACTAGGTAAAGAGGGCTTAAACTTAAGCAGGGGCATCTGGTGGAGATGCTCATCATTGTGGAGCTCCGGGAGCACAGCGTGCGCATGGAGCATTGATTCTGCAAAAATTAAGCTTGAAAAGTATTTTAGCTGTAAGTACACATTTTTGAAAAACCTTGGGAATTTTCACCCAAGCTTTAAAAATTTATAAAACTGAGTTGATCTTCAAACCATCGTAAAGCATCCCTCTGCATTATATGCTGATGAAGATCTTGGTTCTAGCTTACAAAATTAAAAAACAGAAGCTAGCATGCCTTATATAATTTTGATGGGGATTTTAAAATGTGGTATAAAAATACATCAAATAAATTTGAGTAGCTTTTTATAAATATGCCAGGTACTACAATTAATCACAAATATGCTTAAGTATAGTTCTCACTTTCAAAATGGTTACAACACTAGGGAGATACACCAAGCCAAGCTCTAAACAGTTCAGATTCCATTCCATTTCCTGAGTGAGGTAGGTACCTCACAAGGACTCCCAGACTCTTGCTTTCATTTTAACCTCATTTCATTTAAAAACTCTACAATGTAGCTATGGGACCTTTGTTACTAGTACATAAATTGATACTCAGAGATATGAAACCACTTGCCCATCTTGGACACACAGTGAGATGATGGTGGAGCTAGGACATAAAGTGGAGCCTTCAAACTCCAAATCCAGGTTTCCTTCTAGTGTACACACCATCTTCATTATTTAACATAGGGTTTCCTGAGCACTTACAGGAAGCTTTGAGGAGAGGTCACAAGCAGGGCACAAGAAAAAGAGAGAGAATAATGATAATGCTCCTGGCAGCTGGAAGGAGGATATTGGTATTGCTTGGTAATGGGTTAGTCAGGTTGTATGTAGAGGACTCAGCATGCCTGGTCCTGAAAGAATGGGGATATGGATGACTGATGGGTTTGTATAGGTCTAGAGAATTAGGTTGGACTAGAAAGGGCATAAGCAAAATGTGAGGAAGAAGTGTTCTGGGGACAGGATTAAGCTAATCAACTTACTTGGATAAAGCATCTGTGCTGTGCAAGGAAAGAAAGGATCAAAAGTGAGGCTGGAAGAGTAAGCTGGAGCCAAGTTGTGGAGAGCCCTGCATGTTGTTTTCAAGTATTTGGGCTTTATCTTTTTTGTGAGGGAGTGGAGGGATGTTTTATCTTGATGGCAGGGGAAAAAGGCACTGAAGTGTTACATCTTGAAAGAGTTAATTGCATATAGTCAGTTGAAATGTTTGGAGATAATTACAGTTAGTAAGTTGCCAAAGATTCCTATTTGTTCCCACTTTACCTAAAGAGGTAATATCAATGAAATTTGCAGGTATAACTATTTCACCAGTAATTCTTGAAGCCTGGCTCATATCTTTTACATAGTTAACAGAGTTCTAGGCACTCAAAACAATCTTCAAAATCTTTTACTAATAGTATTGCTGTTGCTGCAGCAAGTGTCCAGCTCCTTGTCTGTCTGTCCTGGTTCATTCCATAGAGGAGTGTATATGACTTAGAGGATTATTGTTTCTGCTGGTGAGACCTACCACTGTCACACAATAACCTCTGCTATCCACTATTTTTCTTCCTTTCTTTGGGGGCAATTTTTAAAAAAGATTTTACTTATTTATTTTTAGAGAGGGGAAGGGAGGGAGAAAGTGAAGGAGAGAAATATTAATGCCTGGTTGCCTCTCACATGCCCCCAACTGGGGACCTGGCTCACAACCCAGACATGTGCCCTAGACTGGGAATCGAACAGGTCACCCTTTGATTCATAGGCTGGCACTCAATCCATTGAGCCACACCGGCCAGAGCTTTCCTCTTCCTTTCCCTTAGGATTTTGCTACTTTCTGTTGAGAAAAAAGGGACTGCATGTTCTCTGACCCTCTTTCTATGCTTCCACTACTTTTAACATGGCAAATTAGTGGCTACCATTTCTGTATTCAGTAAGTGCTAGGCCTTGAACTAGATGCCTAGCGTGTAGGAGGTACTATGAATCTCATGTTCATTTGTTGAAAATGACAGAGAGAGTGAGTAGCTTGCCCAAAGTCACAGAGTAAACAGAAGAGTCAAAGCAGAAGAGCCAGAATTTAAATTTAACTCAGGTCAGTGTAAATGTGCCCATGAATCGAATCCTGTCCATTGCCTGTTTTTGCAAATAGTGTTTTACTAGAACACAGCCATGTTTATTCATTTACTTACTGTCTACGACAGCTTATGCACCAGTTAAGCTAAGTAATTGTAGCAGAGATCTTATTGCTGGCAGAGTCTAACATACTATCTGGCCCTTTACAGAAAAAGTTTGCTGACCCCTGTTTTAGAAGTAAAGGACAAGGTCCCTAGGGCCAAAATATCCATACCACATGGGACTATTTTACATTGCTATCTGTTCCCCAAATTGCCTTATTAACTGTACTTAGTTACAATAGGGCTTGAAAGGCAAATATTGGGCTCTGACTACCCATTATTTTTAGACAAATTGTCCAAGTCCAATGAACATTTCTTTGGACCTTTCCTACATGCAGCCATGATGGTGCCTATGACCCAGAGACTGACAATCCAATAGAGGACACGGCTGTGTGTGCTGCCGACTGTCACACAAAGGAGACCAAGAAAGGGGTTACAACACAGAAATGGAGAAATTACTATGGGATCACAGAGCAGGAAGGGATTTTCTGCTTAAAGGTTGGAGAAGTTAGAAAAAGCTTTCAAGAGGAGGTGACTTTGACCCAAACCTCAAAACAAATTTTACTAAGGGAATTACAGAGAGGGACATGGTAAAGGCACAGACACATAGAAGGTAGCGGTGAGAAGAATTAGTGATGTGATGTGCTGTGTGATGAGGTGGATGCTCAGGCTGGGGGCAAATCATGAGGGCTGCAAAAGTCTCCTATGGACATACACATGGTGCAACACAGTAGGTTTATGGTTGTCATATGGAAAATAATATAATTAATAAATAATAATGCAAGAATACACTGTTTTGCATACTCACAACTATAAATCTACTTTTGCCCCACCCTGTATATATGCTTGTGTGTGTGTATTTGTATATGTAAATTTATAGTGAAGCAAAATACATCAGGGACCTGTAAGACTCTATCAATCTAAAGAAAGAGTCATACAATATGTTCAGTTTGTAAATAAAAAGTAATGAAACTTTTAAAAATACTGCATTATAAAGCAAAAGTAAATACCACACATATGTGGATGTCTGCTGCAGCACTATGTATAAGAGGAAAAATACTGGAGACAACCTGAATACCTGTCAACAGGGGAATGAGTGAGATGATGCATGCTCACACTGTGGAATATGACAGTTGTTAAAAATAATGCACTAAATCCATTATGTTGTGTGGGAAATGATCCACGACATATTGTTAGATAAATAAAACACCCTTGTAGCTAATATCTTTCACTGTCAGGCACTCTCTGTGTCAGTGAATGGCACTTGTGCATGGCTGTCCTTCAGGGACAAGGCGAGTTTCTTTTTTCTTTGTGGGTATTTAGTGGTCCACATCTTCACAACATTTCTATATAAAAATAAAAGTTCAAGACCAGATTGCTTTTCTTCTGGTCAAAAATGTTGATTTATTTACAGGTGCCT